TCCCAGCGCTGCTGTCGAACGAGAAGAGCGAGCGCGGCGGCAGCACGTGCGCCGGAATCTTGCGAGCAGCTGTGCATGTGAGGGCGCGGATGAAGGCGATCATGAGCTTTACAATGCGCGTGTTGAAGCGGACATCTTACCCGTGTGCCCGCCGTCTGCACGTCATGGCCAGCTGGCTTACCCAAGTCGTCTGGCCGTGACGATGTGGACGACCCATGTCGTCGTCGCTGCAACGGGAGCGGGAGGATGCAGTCGTGGTCGGGGGCGGGCGTGAGAGGACGCGGAACAGACGCACGAGCTAGGTCCCTCGCCGTTGAGGTGTGCGCCCGGCGCAGTTTGACGGATGCCGACGATTGGCGTCCCCATCGCTGCTCTGAAGCACAGCGCTGGCTGCATGTAGGCGCGGTCGGGGGCAGCGCGGCAGTCGTGGAGCGAGCGCGGCGAGGCGGGGCGGTTTATGGGCGGGTATCGGAAGCCATCTGTCCGAGTAGATAGTCACCGGGCAGCTGAGTAGTTTGCAGTGCACAATATAGATGTATCCTGTGAGGGAAAGGACGGCAGCGGTGTCAGCGAAACGGCGCAGGACAGAGGCGGGACGCACGCACTAGATCGCCCCGCCGCTATGATGTAAGACGCGGGACCGGCGCAGTTTGATGACGCAAGTCTTGCGGGGGCTGATCGCGCGCCGCGAGCTCGGCGTGCGGGGAGGTTGCGGCGTGCGTGGGGGACTGACGCTGGGGGTGCGGGTGAGGCCGCTGAGCGCCCACTCGCTGGCGTGCGGGGGCGCATTGACAGAGCAGGCATTGGCGTGCTGGGCAAATGGCTCGGAGACGAGCTTGACGGTGAAGCCGCACGACGAGGATGTTCGTGGCGGTGTCCTTGAGGGCGGATGCGTCTGCCGTGGGCTGGTGGTGGAGGAGGCCGAGCAAGATGACTGCGGGATCGGAGGTGACCATGTTGAACCAGCTGTGCGGGGCAGGTCAGCGTGGGCACGGACCGCAGGGGGAGAGCGCAGAGGGCACCTGAAGGGGGCCAGGTTCTCGACGCCGTCAGCAGAGACGCTGGAGATGAACGCAATCGGACGCGGGACGACGCCGCCCACCATGAGGTGGTACTGTAGGCAGAGCGCTGTCAGCAGCGGCCGGCGCGAGCACACGACAGAGGCGTACGATGGCTACAGGAGGCGTACGCGGCGGGCGCGGCAGCGGAAGGGACAGATAGCACGCCGGGTACGCCGGGTACGCCGGGTACGCCATGAACACCCCCGGCGGGAACGCGAGCGCCCCCATCTCGCCCTCATCCCTCCTCTCCCTCTCACGGTCCTGGTCTTGCTCCCGCGCGACGTCGCGCGCGCCCATCGGTCCTGTCCCTGCCCCATCTGCCCGCGCGGACGCGAACCAGCGCTGCGCCGCGACACGCCGCCGGTACTCGCGCCCCCAGTCGATGCCCGCACCCGCGGCGTCCCGGCTCCCGACGACGCCCGGGCCTGGCAGCGCGCACAGGTCGCCCCATGTGCCGCGCGGGTTGTCCCATGCGCGGAGGAAGAGCCCGCGCCAAATGTGCTGGTCGGGGGCGGCGTAGACGAGGGCGGCGAAGGCGCGGCAGGTGCGCGCGAGGGCGGCGGGGGCGGCGGGGGACGCGGGGGCGGCGAGGAGGAGGACGTGCTCGAGGAGCTCGGCGGGGAGGGTCTGGATGGGCGCGGGGACGCGGGGACGCGGGGTGCCGTGCGTGCGCTGGACGGGACTGCGGCGGCCTGCGTGCACGGCGAGGGGAGCAGAGGGAAGGCGGGGCCGCCATCTGGCTGCAGCGACGAGCACGAGATGGCTCTGAATCGTGATGCCAGTGGAAAGAACGGAGGGCGCAGACAGCGTCGACGCGCGCGGCCTGGACGCGCAGAGGCCCACGGGCGGATACAGTATGATCTGTGATCCCCGTCGCTGTCGCTGGCTGAGCACCCCACGGTGATCGGACATGGCACCAGCGTAGACGCGTGTATAGGGCGTGTAGGCGCACACTGGTGTGCGCGGGAGGGCGCGGGAGCGGAAGGGACAGATAGCACGGGTGCGGTCATGACAAGCAGGGCCAAGGGACGATGGACAGGATAGGATGGAGACCAGCGGGGGCGCACGCGATAGGGCTCGAGTGGAGGAAGGCACCCACGACGAGGTGGCGCAAGACCGATGCAGGAGAGGTACAGAGACACGCGATCGAGGAGAGTGAAGATAGTGATCGGGTGTACGCACCTATTTGCACGCCTCTGTGCAGACGATACACGACTGCGCTCAGATGCTATGTGTCCGGATGGCTGAGGGAGGACGAGGAGGCTGCCAAAGACGGAAGCGGAGAGCGCAGGAGCGACCTGGGCGCAGCGCGGTTGGTTATAGAAGATGTTGATAGGCGGATACTGAGAGAGGGTGCCGGTGTCCGTGATGTCAGCGTCGAGAAGCGAGGAGGAGTCGCAGGCAGAGGACGGCGGGGCTCGCACGGCTCAGCGCCAGCGCCACCTCCCTTCCGATCACATCTCAGGTCGCCGACGCCAGATGTGCGACGTCATACACGCGACAGCCCATTACTGTATCGCACTTGAAGCGCCGGTCTGCCCGCACCTCGACTGCCAACAGAGTCGACCCCTTCCAACAGCGCCCCGCGCTGACTCCACTCAGGCCCCCTCGCCTCCTGCGACCTCCGATGGCGACACTGGTTCAATCCTGGGTCTGCGTCCCTGTCCGATTGGCGGCCTACCGCTCCCGTCCTTCCCGGGCGTCGTTCGTCATACACCCGTTCTCTCGCAGACTCTCCCGCCTTTTCGCGTCAACTCGCCTCCATCGGTCAGCCTCCTCGCATATGACGTGTATCGCTGCCAAACGCCTTGCCAGCATCCTCTCATTCACGCATCACCCACGCCCGATCCGTGCAACCCCCACTCATCCCCCCACGGCGCAGTCGCGTGATGCGCGAGCACAGCGATGGCTTTGCGAGGAATCCGTCTGCTGCGGATCTCCTTTCACGATGGTGGGTGATAGTGACCGTGAGGAAACACAGCGCAAAGGATGATTGAATCACGCTATCACAGATGCACTTCATGCCGAGTCTGCGCTATATCATACGACGATACTCTGGTTTCGCGTGTGGGCGTTCGGGCAGGGATCGGCACTGAAAGCGATGGGGATGAGTGGTGTCTGGCCCAGCCAGCATGCGGGGATCTACGTACCGAAGGGACGGCGGGAGCACCGTGCGCGTCTGGTATGGCGACCGAGTCCTGCGCGACCGTGTCCTGTCGCACGACGGGTGCAGAGCTTGCACTGTCCCGCACTGCAAGCGCCTGTCTGGCCAGGGCCTGCCGGCACAGCGGCTGCCAGCGGAGTCGACTATGGCGCCCCATGATGGCTCTGTTCGAGCAGCCCTGCCTCCTACGATCGCTGGTGGTGCGGCTTGACAGTGATGCGTATGGCTCCCTCCACCCTCCAACTGACGCATGTCCTACGGCCCTCGCGCGTCGTGCATCTCTCGCGAATCCCTCCCGCATTTCGCATCCACTCGTCCTCATCGGCCTGCCACCTCGCATATGGCATATGACGTGCTCGCCGACCACTGGCAGCATCCTCGCGTCCATGCATCGCCCACGCCCACTCTGCGCAGCCCCCGCCAGCACACCGGTGGCGGCGCGATGACTCTGCGGAAACCTTCCTGCTGGGGTTTTATTTTTCACGCATGTTGGTCAGGAATACCGTCTGTTCGTGCACGACTACACAGCGCGAGGGAGGGCCGGATCACGCTATCCCTCTGGCTTGCACGCTTGACGCGGGTCCGCGCCGCATCGCGTGAGGGTAGTTGGACATCCTCGGTCGTATAGGTCCGATACTGTCACCTCCTTGCCTCGGACACACTTGCGACAGACGCCCCGGGCAGCCAGCGGGGCGTGATCTACGTCCTTGGCTTTTTTTGCTCTCGTGTAAGCAGGTCTGCAAACCCTATGTCCGACGGCAGGCGTCTGGAGTCGTTGCGTGGCCTCTTGGCCGACTCTAGGGCTACTCCACATAGCTGGGCACGATGCAGGTTTGCGTCCGTCTGCTTTTCCATCTTGAGCGACGAGCGACGTGTATGTGCTTTTCAGGCTCCTCCTGCAGAAGCATGGCGTACGCTGTATCATATTAACCTTCGTACACCTGCCGTGTTCTCCATGCTCCCATACACTGTGAACGATCCCGCGTTGCAACACTACTCCCTCTCCGGCAGTCAGCCGCCCACAGGTACCCCGAGTCCTGCAGATGACTAGCAAGCAAGCCCCGACAGCCTCATCTCATCAGCGTACCATCCAGTCGCGCAGGCCCCACCACGAACCCGTGTCAAGAATCGAAAGCAAACGCCCATCCGAAGCCCATGTCGAGGCGCGTCGCGCCGTTGCAGATGGAGACGGCACTCGGGGCTTCCTGTGGGTCCTCCATCCTTCGTCCGCCATCGCGCTGACGCACATACGGCGCACCCGCACCCGCACCCGCACCCACGCTCGCTGCCGCTATCCTGTTTCCTCGCGCGGGGCACTCTGACACACACTCGCTTCCACCGGAGCGGACCGCGTGCGCTCTCTCCGACCCACCGCGCCGTGCGCCCCGGCCAGTTGTCGAGGGGGCGCCCTGCCTCTGCGCCCAGCCAGACATGTAGGACTGACTGCGCATGCGCCGGGGAGCGCCCCCTGCCGTGTGCGCCTGTCCCTGCACAACCCTTGCGGCTAGGCTCGGCTTGGGCCGACGTCTGTGCTCGGAGGTCAAACTCCGTTCATGACATAGTCGGTAAGACGGCGCTGGTATCGGAAGTATGTCTCACGTGTTCCTGTACCTGTCCGTCCTCCACCCCTCGATTCGTCCGTCGCACGGCTCATCCCCTGCGCTTTTCTTCGGCGCGCAGGTTTCTCGGGCGGGCGTTCGGACAGGGATCGGGACTGAAAGCGATGGGGATGAGTGGTGTTTGGCCCAGCCAGCATGCGGGCGCCATCCAGATGATCGTCTCGGGCGTCTCGATGCGCGGGCGCAGATGGCGATGTGTGGCACAAATGCCCGCTGGAAACGACGAGAGAGCACATGGTCAGGGGTGTATAAGAGTGCATGGACAGAGGTGTATAAAGCTGTATAGACGGGTGTGTAACGCTGTATAGACGGGTGTATAAAACTGTATTAGACGGGTGCATAGTCAGAAGTATGTAATGCTGTATAGACGGGCGCATGGTTACAGTCGTATAGAATCATATAGATAAGCTCATTATCAGTCTTATGCGCACGTCGTACAGATGGTCTTCTACACAGCAAGCGCCCGGGCACTCCGACACATTCCCTTGTCGCACTCGCTCTTTGCGCGGAATTCAGCGTCTTCTACCACGCTCTGTGCAATCCTCCCAGGCTCGACGCCTCTGCGAATTCCACCTCTGCAAACTGGCTGTCAGCGACGAGGCAAACACTCGTCTCGCTCACCTGCAGGAACACGCATCCGCGGTCCTAAGCGCGGCCTTGTACATGTCGCGCCGGGCAGTGTCCTTGCCTCCCTCGCCTGCGAGCCGCTCGCGCAGGATGAGGAGCAGCTCCTGGACAAGGTCGGCCGGGCGCACGCCCAGCGGGACACTCCACAGGAGGTTCAAGTACACGGCGAGGTCGATGCGTGCGCAGTCCTACGCAAGGCGCTCAAGAGCCACGAGGGCCGCGATGCCGAAGTGGGTGGCTGAGCAGACGACATTGACGTCTCCTCACCAATGTTCAGCAAATTGCCTGGGCACCCGCCCATTGCCGCTTCCGCGCGCGAGCGCACTCAAGCCCAGCCCGGGCTATTATATGCCCAAAAGCGGTCGGAAATGGTTTGTGCACGAGCTCGTGTTCTTCATCACAGCTCACCTGCCACCGCCGTGCGCCAGCGGAAGGACAAGAGCGAGTCAGCATGCGAGCACGATGTGATGCGAGCAAGACCACGTACATTCGGTAGTCCAAATCACCCTGTCGCGCGCACAGCACCACCATTTCCAGCACCTCCGTTCCCGTGCTCACCGTCAGGCCTGCCCGCTCCTCGGGCGACGCGACGCCGCGCACAGGAGCATCTATAAGTGGAGTTGGATCAGCGTTGGCGCATTCATGCGTGTGAGCTGCGCTGCGTACAAGGGCACGGGCACGTCTGCACCTGTATCTGCGCCTGCCTTGACCTTGCCCATGTGCTTTGACCTTACTGGTGTCCTCTTTGCCTTTTGCGGGACGCACCGCGCGAACATGGGTGTGATGCGCTGCCACCGCCAGTGCCCGAGCTTGTCGCAGGGACACGCATCCGTAGCCTCCTCCGCGTGGTCGAACACGATCCCGAGCACAGCTTTGTTCACATAGTGCCGAGCCGCCTCCGCATCTGCGCCCTCGCCTGGCTCGCCCGCAGAGCGCCGCTCGTGCGGGACGAGGAGCAGCTCCTAGATGAGGTCAGCCAAGCGCATGCCCAGCGTGATGCTCCACAGGAGGTCCAAGTACGCAGCGAGGTCGATGCGGGCGAGGTCATCCGTGAGCCGCTTGAGGGCGGCAATGCCAAAGTGGGTCGCCAAGCAGATCACGTTGCGGATGATGGATGCGGTGAGGGGTGCCATCGTGTCCGGGAGGCACGCAGGGCCGGCAGGCAGGCAGGATGTCAAACAGGAGGAAGACGCGGTCCTCTATGCGATGCTTGATTGCAAGCGATGTACCTGCGGACGGTGGTGTGCGGCTTGGCAAGGAGAAGGTGGGCGACCTCGTCCTTCAGTGCATCTAGCGCAAAGACCTGCTGCCCGGGTGTGTTGTCTCCCCACGTACGAGTCGATGGAGGTAGCGCTGAAGGCTGAAGGGATGCGGCATCTTGTTGAACCTGCGCAGACACTGGAATGCCTATTAGCCTTGTTCGTCTACGATCTGCCACAGTGGACATTGCACTCACGGCTCGAAGCACAAATCAAACACTTGATATGCTACGCAGTCTCAGACACATCATATCAGATGGAATTGAGTCGAGAGGCGGGAGCATAGGCAGACAATGGAGTTGTGCGAGATGTACCAGGCAGCCAGGGAGGGGTAGAGACATCGGCCAGGAGATTGTAGCTGCCAATTTCTCATATACCCCCACACACGGTTACGTCCATGTTGGGTGTTTCTGTATTGCGCGCTGATGTATACAAAGCAATCAACATGCCGGAGATGCTTGTGTCCATGCCGATCGCATGCGCACCCTCGCAACATTGTCGCAACAGGTAATATCAGAATGCTGGCATATGGGAATGTAGATACGGAACAATCACTGTAATAACAATCTCGCATTACTCCCAGTCATCGGCATCCTCAATCGTCTCGGCAAGTGACCGGGCATCGGACGAGAAATCCTCGATCGTTTCCGGAGCTGACGAGTTGCCATATTGGTCACCATCAACAATACCGAGATCCAGCCGGCGCCGTTTGCAAATTCGACTCTCATCCTCATCACCTGACTCTGTCCGGCTCCCAATATTCCCACCGGCAGTGGCATCTGCATCCGAGCCGACATCAGAGTTTTCGATGATATGCGCACTTTTCGGGACCTTGTTACCCCGCCGCTTCCGCTTCATCGGCTCCCTCTTGTCAGCAAACACATGCAAGTGCCCCGCATCACTCCTTGTGTGTCGCCGAAGCTCGAGCCTGACGGGTCTCTTTGCCGGATCCAGACGCTCAAACCACATACTGCCTGTTCGCCACTTTGTAAGCAGTTTATCAAGAATGTCGCATCCCCCAATCTTGCTGAGGTTTGTGCGGGCAATGTTGGTTGGCCATCCCACAAGAGCGACACCATATGGCAGCTCAATTCGCTGGTGAAAGTCGACTGCGGTCCACGACATTTTGATGGATCGGTTGCCTGTGATCTCGCCTAGACAAGCATCAGATTGGTAAGCTAGCGTGAGAAGCAAGAATACATACGGAGATCTTCGGTCATGACATCGCGCAATGCACCTTTGAGTCGTTGATAGCATGTTTTGTATAGCTGCCATGGCCGTGACAGCAGCTGCAGGCAATTCTCGCCCGACATGAAGAATAGCCCAATGTGGAACTAAACACAGTCTGAGGTCAGTAACAGAAAGGAGGGAGAAACAACTGATGGTAGTACAGTTTGTCAGTGTAAAGTGCGACTGTATGGAAATCCGCCATTGGTGAGCTTTCGGTTTATTTATGGCCAAGTCACACCTCTTGCTTGGTAGGTTATCTCATGGGCAGGTGAGTTCCCTGTTGTTTCACCTTTTCACCGTCAACCACTAGGCAGTGCATGCGATTGCAAGGGCGGACGGGACATGGCAGCCGCGACGGCAGTGACACACACAGAGACGAGCGACTCGACTCGATGACGTTCGCAATGGCTGCCGTGCGCCACTCCTCCGTTCCGAGTTACTGTACATCCCTGCCGTGAGTGTAGGAGACTGTGCGCACACGCGCACGCTCATCCGCAACACTGCCCATGCGGTTGCTCAGAGCTCATGCTGTCGTGGGCCGGGCATGCATATCGAAAAGAAGATGGTGGGGGAGATGTCATGCAGAGTGCGGGCACAGACCCAGTGCACGCAGACCGACGCAGATGGTTTCGCGACAGTAGACGAAAGTGAGTCTTGTGCTATTCGACGTGTCCCGGCAATCACCCATCTCATTTGAATAGACGTACTGCAGCGCGCAGCTCAATGCATTCGGCTGTGCACCCATCCTCCGTCTCGACTCGATAGTCACCGCGACGACCACCGTATGCCGCCCCTCCGCTCCGGGCTGCCATGTGTTCCTGCAGGGCACTTCAAAGACAGTCTGGTCGGCAGGTCCGCATCAGCACCTCACGCTAAGGTGGATAGCGACATGGATGGTCAGTCTTGACCCTGCAATTACGCACCACACGCTTCAGTGGCGCAAATGAAAATATATATTAGATTTCAGTACACATTCGTAGTAATGCTGCTACTGCTGCAGGCGCGCACGACGGCCGAGTGCGTGCACGACAGCACGGGCAGCGTGTCCTGACCGAGTATGGAAGACGGCGCGCACACGCATCCCACCCCTGACGCTGCCCGTGGCGTGAACATGTCACATCAATTGGAATAGAATACGTACCATAACCGCCACCATATGGCAGCTCCCGCTGGTTTCACCGCGCAGATACAGCGCTCTGCCGTAAGACGGCGGTTCATCCGAACATTCGTTCAGCGGATTCCACGCCTTTCCGCACCGTCGCGACCGCCAAGCCGGGTATTTGCACCAGGCGTACTGATGCGTTGTGATCGCGCAGTGCTGTACGAGCAGAGCGGCTTGGTTGTGCGTCTGACACACGACGGCGCGGGCAGGCTCTCCCGTCTGACTTGTTTTGATTGACGAACAGGCACCGTCAGCCCCTCCTGTGGTCGGGGTGTGCAAGTCCGTACCGCGATCACGTTAGCGCGGTCTCATCATGCGTGCTGCTCGGTGCTGTTTGTATTGCCATTTGCCTTGTTTGCCTGACTGATGGTGTCTGACCGGGTACGCAATGTCAGTGCTGGATCTTCGCACCAGGCGCGTCACTCTAGCACCGGACGCTGCATGGGCATGGGCACGGCATCAATTGTGCGGGGACGCTGCGGGCGACGCAGGAGTCACCGCCGTAGCAATACGGGTAAAGGACGATGCTGGGGTGTTGCGGCCGGTAGATCTGGAGGGTACGTCAGTGAGTCCGTCCATCCACGTCAGGCAGAATGACCGCGCCCGGGTACACGGGCGGGGACGCGGGGACCTGTCATCATGAGTGATAGCTTAGCGATGCGGCAGCCGACGTGAGACAGGGGCCATCGCGCCTGGGTGAGATGTCCAAGCGGCAGTCGTGGGAATAGCGACGGATCAGGAGAGCGTGCGAGGGATTTAAAGGCGAGTGTCATTGAAGATTCCTTCATCGTTGACGACTTCGCTTCCGCTGTGCCAATGTTTGTCTCACGCGCCCGCTGTCCAGCACGGACGCTGATCTGGTAAGT